TTTCTTTTCTTTTCCTTTCTTTCTCTTTTTCTTTTTCTTTTCCTTTTTTTTTTTTTTTTGGAGAGGCTTTTGCTATAGGTCGTGTGCACTCGCCAGAAAGACAGAGAGAGACAGAGAGATATAAAGAGAGAAATCACCCCCCGGGGGGATGGCCACACTGCAATCCCTTTTCCTCCATTCTCCTCTCGGGATCTTGGGCACGCATGCACACATGCCCGGCATGAGTTTAAGCCACCGGGTCTGGGACTCGAACCGCGGTCGACTACATGGGAGTCCAGTGACATAGCCATTACACTAACTGCTGGTCCCTGGAAGTGCTTTCTCTATCTCTTTCTCTCATGGTCCCTCTATTATTAAGAAAAAAGGAAATTAAAAGAAGAAAAAAACAAAAACAAACAAAGGCTAGGTGGAGTGCACTAAATGTAGGAAGCTATACTACATATCTGTACATGGCATGAGTAACATACACTCTACATCTCTAATTGGTTATGCAGCCTTATTGTGGAGATTTACCATCAAAAAGTGTTCAACCGTTTAAGGCAGCCTTCATGATCTTGCGCCAGACAATTTTTTTTTTTTTACTTTTATGTTTATTTATTTATTTATTTGCTATAGGGCACATGCACTCACCAAAGACAGACAGACAGTGAGAGAGAAAGAAAGTAAGAAAGCAAGCCACCAGGTCTGAGACTCAAACAACAGTCAACCATGTGAGAATCCGGCACCTTAACCTCCACTCTACCTGCTGGCCCTGCTGGCAATTCTAATGTAGAGTTCCTCTTTGAAGGCTCCCCTCCTTCAATATTTTATCCACTGACAGTCTCACTAATCTTTGACGTAGTAAGAGATTAAGACTTCATTTACATAATCTGCAAGGACTATACTTTAAAACTATTGCTAAAATCACTTTTTAGATTTTTCTTCTCCAAGCTACATCAATTGAGGTCTCCCAAATCACTGGTCATATAATGGACTACTAAACTTCCATTTCTTTTTCTTTTTCTTTTTTTCCTAACTACCACTTCCAAAAAAAGCCACACATTTAAAACAAATGGTTTGGAACACAGGACCACTTTTCTATAGAAATAGGTAAGAGACATGTATCCATTATAGTAAATACCACAACAGTCAATCAGCTTTCAAGTATCAAGATGTTAGTTTTCCCCCCATGTTAAAATAACTAATGCAAACAAATTTGATATTTTCAGTGCCAAAGCATTCTACTTGTAAAAAATAGCAGTAACTGGTTAAGAATATTTTTAGATGTTAAGCAATTATTTTCTTACATGTGGTTTGTATTCTTTCTTCTAGAGACTAACCAAGTACCAAGAATGGAATCCTTATCAAAAAATACATTCAGGGGGACCAGCAAAGATGGCCTAATGGTTATGCTGCTGGATTCCTATGTAGTCAACCATGGTTTGAGACTTGGAACTGGTGGCTTAAAACTCATGCAGGATGCATGTGCATGCATGCCCCAAATCTTGGAGAGGAGAATGGAAGGGAAGGAATCGCAGCACAGCCATGCCCCCCTGGGGGGGGGGGCAGTGACATCTTGTTTAGTGTCTCTCTCTCTCTCCAGCGAGCACACAAAAAAAAAAAAAAATAAAAAAAAAAAAAAAAAAAAGAAAAAGGAAAAGAAAATATACCCGGGGCCAGCAGGTGGCACAGTGGTTAAGGGAGCTGGAATCTCATGTGGTTGACTCAGAGGCTTGAAACTCATATCAAGTGTGTGTGTGCGCATGCGTGTGTGCACTCAAAATTCCAAAAGGAGAGTGGAGTAGAAAAGACTGCGGTATGGCCATGGCCATCTCCCGAGGGGTGATTTCTCACTTTCTGTCTCTGTGGCAGAAACATGCACCCTAGAGCAAAAATCTTTCCCAAAACAAAAAAACCTGGCATTAAAAGATAGACATATAGGGAACAGCAGATGACATAATGGCTATATCACTGGACTCCCAAGTAGTAGACCGCGATTCAAGTCCTGGACCCAGTGGCTTAAACTCACGTCAGGCACATGTGTGTGCATGCTCAAGATCCTGAGAAGAGAACGGAGGAGGAGGGATTGCAGTGTGGCCATGCTGCCTGAGGGGTGATGTCTTGCTTTCTGTCTCTCTGTCTTTCTGGAGAGCGCATGAGCCCTACAGCAAAAACTTCTCCAAAAAAAAAAAAAAAAGATACACATATATTCATATATTTAAATAGTAGTAAGAACAGTATTAGTTGCAGAAGTACATGCTGATTTGCTAGGACTACTGAAAAAGTTTGCATGCTGGAGAACTAACAATGTTTATGCTTTTATCTTTGTTTAGCTTTGAAGCAGTTTTAATTAGTATTGTACTATTTTACTATGTTGTATTTCTTAGATTATTCATAGCAAAACTGAGATAGAAGACTATACACATTTGTAACAGTAAAACCTCACGAATCACGAATTAGCAAGAGTTATAGGTAATAGGCCACTTAAGAAGTATGTTTTTTGAAAAGAAGTATAAAACCTTTAGAACACATGGTGCCTGAATTCACATTTCTATTACTATATCCTGAGAACACTGGAATCAAACCTAGGAAAAGTCTACCTTCATAAACAGACAGAAGTAATTTATAGTTAGTAAATCAAAGAAATGAATCAAGAAAAGTTGACAACTGTCTAAAATGCTAGTTCTTAATGATTTAAATTGTGTATGAAAATACCATGTTAACATCCTCACCAAAAACATTCCTAGAAAATAAAATTTTTTTAAATGAATATGTTCAAATAAGATATATACTGCTTTCCCTTCACATCTAAAATGTATTCAATATTCTGAAATGAAGAAAAACAAATTTAAAAAAATTAGTGAGTAATTCTTACCTGGAACCCACTTAATTTCCATTTCCATATCATTTTCTTTGCCTTTTTTTTCTTTTTCTTGAATAACCTGCAAGAGTTGCCTATATTTAGCAATTTGATCTTCATCATCTTTCTGACTTTTCTTTGTTTTCCCATCTTCTACACTGACTCCATCATCATCTAACAAACAAAGAAAAAGTTCATTTAATACACAGCAATAATTCATTTCTAAGTTCAGTGCTTAGACCTCATGGTCATGCCAGCACTCTCTAAAACATGTCAGACATACTGCAAAAATACAATATCAAAATCAAACTTTGCAATAAAGGTTATAGCACTGTCATACTAGTATACTTGAGAATCTTTTTATTAAAATTAATTATTTCAAAATAATTCTGCAGTCACAGAATCCTTAAGCTTCTCTTCTCTAAAAGTTTCAGGACAACAAGAATGGCATTTTATCCCCCTTATATACTTCATCATCTATCTAGCACAGTGGCTTTGAAATGGCATGGGCCAGATGGTGACACAATGCCAAAATACAACACTCGGAAAAGCAATCTTACAAGGGAAGGTTCCTGGTTCAAGTCTGGAGACCTCCCTGAATATTCCAGGCATATACCCATTGTCCAGGCTGGCTAAAGGCCAGGGGTAAAATATGATATCAGAACCCCGTTGGGGTTCTCTCTCTTACTCATGGAAGAAATAAAATGTTCAATAAAAAAGGTTAAATAGGGACCAGCAGATGGCATAATGATTACATTATTGGACTTGTACACACCCACCGCAGTTTGAGTGCCAAACTCGGCAGCTTGAAACTCATGCTGGACACGTACGCATGCCCGAAATTGTGACGAGAGAGGGGAAGAGAAGGGATTGTGGTGTGGCCATCCCCCCAGGGAGTGATTTCTCACTTTCTGTCTCTCTGTCTCTCTGGTGAGCACACATATCCAATAGCAAAAATCTTTCTTAAATAAAAAAACAGAAACAAAAAAGGCTGAATATTACTGGGATGAATTTGATACATAGATTTAACTGTTCAATTGGAAAAGAAGAGGTAAAGGAAGTTGTTTATGATTCAAATCTATGAATGTTAATTCCTTTCCACCTGACTGTAAATAAGATGTTATTCTAAGAACTAACATATTAAGAATAAAAATGAATAAAAGTTCAATTAATTTCATTATGCAGAAAAATAATCATGTTTTCATTTCCTAGTTTTATAAAAACAGTTAAAATACAAAAGAATAGTAGAAAATTTACAGGTAACAAATACCAAAAACACCCAATACATAAAAAGTTTGTTTGTTCTGTATTTCAGTTATTCTCTAAGTTAAAAACATAAACTGGGAGGACCAGCAGTTAGCGTAATGGCTATGTTGCTGGACTCCCATGTAGTCGACTACAGTTCGAGTCCTGGACCCGGTGGCTTAAACTCACGCCAAGCGCGTGTGCGTGCATTCACAAGATCCCAAGAGGAGAATGGAGGAGAAGGGATTGCAGCATGGCCATCCTCCCTGGAGGGTGATTTCTCGCTTTCTATCTCTCTGTCTGTCTCTGTCTTTCTGGTGAGTGCACGTGCCCTGTAGCGAAAACCTCTCTAAAAACAAACAAACAAACAAAAACATAAACTGGGAACCTGAGTTTTAATGTAAAACATGCAGACTTATTGAATTGACTAACTGTCCCCAGTGAAGGAACATTAAAAAGCAGCATAATGAAGTCCTCTCTTCTATAACCTATGGCTAACTGGTCACCAAAAATGTCTGGCATTATCGAGCATTTAGCTACAAGTGTGTCAATGGATTCTCCTTACATCTTCAAAAGGTGATATGAAAAAAAAAATTGGTTAAGTAAATATTTTTATACTCTTTTCTCTCTAAATGAATAAAAAATGGTTCAGGACATTCTTTCCATCCTATCACACTTTTACATTTTTACTCAAACAGCTGAAATTAATTTTTTTCTGTTTGTGCTTTGTGCCATAATAATAATGTTGGATGGAATTCTGTCATGTATCCCGTAATTCAATGGATAAAACATCAGGAACACATTAGCAAAATGGCAATGTATTTCTTTCTATTAAAAGCTTACTTCTGAAAACATAATTAGAAGCAAGCTCCTTCCAGGTTGAAATTTTAGTGGTAAGTCTCTGATGGCTTACTTGAAATTGATTTTTTCCAGTACTAAAATTTTACTTTCTGAAGCTCTAAAATGTGGAATAACTCATGTAGGTCTGTTTTTTCCCCAGCTTAAGGACAATATTTTGTGAAAGTTCTAATAATATATGAGGAATAAAAAAATAATTATAACTAAGCCATTCTGTGTTCTCTTTTATGCAACAATTAGGAACATCTAGTAACTCTAAGGCATTCAAATATACTAATGTATTCATCTGAGGTATTAAATTACAGGTTAAAGTTTGTAATCAATTACTGAAGAAAAATGCACATTCTAAAAACTTAATAATAGCACATTTCAAACAAAAAGCCACTAATACTTATTTTAAGAAACAGAAATACACGGTACAAGGAAGTATACACTAAGCACTTTATATACATCATTTCATTCTGTCCAAGCATGAACCAGGTGCTATTACATTTCAATTATGGAAAGACAGACACAGGAGGCTTATGAAACAACCTATGTAACTTCACCATATGGTGAAAAGTCAGGATTTAAAACCATCAGAGCCAAGATCAAAACTAATGCTTATTTACTGACAGTATTATCTACCTTAATGTTAACAGGGTCACTTTAAAATCTAGTTTAGTGGGCCGGCAGTTGGTGTACATGATTAAGGATCTGGATTCCCACATGGCTGACAATAGTTCCAGTCCCAGATGTGCTGGCTTGAAAATCATGCTGGGTGCACGTACCTGTGTGCACAAAATCCCAGGAAAATACTAGAGAAGAAACTACGGTATGGTCATCCCCCGGGGGATAATTTCTCACTTTCCCTCTCATTGTCTCTGTCTCTGATAAACACATGTGCCCTGTGGCAAAAATGCCTTTAAAAAAATCTAGCTTAGGGGCCAGCCCCATCGCTCATCATTAAGGGCACTAATCCCACATGGCTGATCATGGATGAAATCCTAGTTCTGGTGGTCGAAGGAACGTACCAGTCATGTGGGCCAAAAATTCCAAAAGGATGCAGAAACAGAGGAGAAACTATTGTGGCAATGATGACATTTCATTGAGGGGTATTTTCTCTCTCTCTCTCTCTCTCTCTCTCTCTCTGGGGAGGTTATATGTCCCCTGGCAATTAAAAATAAAAAAAAAAAATTTAGGGCCAGCAGATGGCATAAAGATTGGGGCACTGGATCACACATAGCCGAATGTGTGGTTTGAGTCCCAGACCCAGTGCTTGAATATCATTCTGGGCGCATGTGCGTGCATGCCCAGACCCTGGGAGAATGGAGGAGAAAGGATTGTGGTACGGCCATCTCTCCTGGGGTGGGGTGGGGAAGTGATTTCTCACTTTTCCTCTTCCCGTTTCTCTGGTAGAGCGCATGTACCCTATAGCAAAAAGTTTAAACATTCTTTTTTTAAAAAAATTTAGTTTAGTTCTCCCAAGCCTAAACAACCTATTTGAAATCTTCTATCATCTTCACAAATGTAAATGGAATGTTACCTTTTTTGTCCTTTATCTGATAGTGAAGAAAAGCTATTCTGGATTCTCAAAAAAAATAAAATAAAATAAAATAAAATAAATGCTTATACGGGCACATAGATTAAAAGGAAATGTAGACAAATATATTTTCCTCATTCATGGGGGAAAGGACATAAAAGTTATTTGAAAAAAGTACTTAACTGTCCTGTGTACACTAAAAATAAAATGGTCAGTTAAAGCTTTGTAATGCCAAAATAAAAGTGACAAATGACAACTACTGAGGCTTGAAAACTGTGAAGGCTTTTACGCCCAACATAACTACCACTGCACATCATACATTTTCAAAAACCAATTAAATACTTAAGCAATTACATGGTTTTATTAATATATCTGAACAAAGAAACTAGAATTATTAAGTGATTTTCCATTTCTCATATAAAATGCTATTCAAAAGTAGTACATTAGGGTCAATTGGTGGCATGGTGGTTAAGGCAGTTAGATCCCACATGGCCAACTATACTGTTAGAGTCCCGGATCTGGTGGCTTAAAAAGCACACCACAAACGTATTAGAGTGTCCAAAATCCCAAGATAAAAAGGGACAGTAGTGTGGTCATCACCCCTGGTGAGTGCTTTCTCACTCCTCCCATCTTCAGCAACGGCATGTGCCCTATAGCAAATTTAATTAAAAAAAAAAAAAAAGGTACTACTTTATAAAAAAACTTAGAAAAGTGAAGTACTATCTATCTTTAGTAGTCTAAAAGAAAGTGACAAGTGGGACTACATCAGACTAAGAAGTTTCTACACAGCAAAGGGCACATAATAAGTGTGAACTGACAACCCTCAGAATGGAAAAATGTTTTTGCTAAATATGCCTCTGACAAGGGACTGATAACCAGAATACACAGGGAACTCAAGTGCCTTATGCGGAAAAAATAAAATGAAATAAAAAAAGATTAACCCAATTAAAAGATGGGAAAATGAGCCGAACAAAAATCTCTCTAAGGAAGACATACAAACAGCCAAAGAGCATATGAGGAAATGCTCAACATCCCTCATCATAAAGGAGATGCAGATAAAAACCGCAATGAGATACCACCTAACCCCTGTCAGAATGGCAAAGATTAAGAATATTAAAAGTGATAAACGTTGGCGGGGATGTGGTGAAAAGGGAACCCTCCTACACTGTTGGTGGGAATGTAACCTGGTTCAGCCACTGTGGAGAACAATATGGAGGTTTCTCAAAGATCTACAAATAGAACTACCATTTGATCCAGCAATCCCACTTTTGGGTACCTACCCAAAGGACAGGAGAACACTAAGTCAGAAAAGTGCTTGCACATCTGTGTTTATTGCAGCATTATTCACAATTGCCAAGACATGGAACCAACCTAAATGTCCACAAACCGATGAAATGGATTGGAAAAGTGTGGCATATATACTCTATGGAATACTACTCAGCCATAAAAAATAACAAGACCCTGGCATTTGATGGAAAGTGGTTAGATATGGAGGATCTATTGCTGAGTGTAGTAAGCCAGGCTATGAAAGAAAGATATTGTATATATCCACTTAATATATACCAACTATCTGCACTCTATAGTAGAGAGCGAAATATTGGAGGACATAAAAGCAGTGAAAATACTTAAGGAGAATAAGACAGTGTGGAATTGGGGAGGTGAAGAGAAGATGATAGAGAAAGATAGCAAGAGAACAAATAGAGAGGCATGACATTAGTGGGGCACAGATAGGACTTAACTACTGTTGATGATATGTATAGTATTCTCAACTGGAAAGGTATGAGAAGTATTTCATGATGGGTAAAGTCTTTTTACAAGCAAAATGAAAAATAGAGATTGAGTGGTAAAAAAAATAATTAGAATAATAATAATGAACGGGAAAAACAATTAAAAGATATTGAATGATGAAGTGGGGATTTTAATGTCTCGGTATTGACTGACATGCATGGAATTCCCTTTTGAAAAAGTATGCAATACACTAAAGTTATATGCAATTCAATGTAATATAAACAAGATTAAGAGGATAATAAATAAAAAACAAATTAATTAATTAAAAAGGAAAGCAACAGATTTGTTTGTTTGTTTGTTTTAAGGGTTGAAATACCACAGGTGTATTTTTTGATCACTGTGGAAAGTGACAGATTAATGATGGGATAGGATCTAAGAAAGTCAAGGTTTAATGGCTCAATGACAATACCAAAGAAACATTTTAGGATTTATATGTTATTAAAGGTTTATGAAAACCATACAAAAGGAAAATCAAAAAGACAGTTACAAAAACTGTTATGCTACAAACTAAAGAATATTTTTGTTAATTTAAAATATTTATATCTATGTTTAATAGTTATGGTTCTTTACTTTTATCAGTACTAGACCTCTTGTAATTTTTCATGATTGGGAATTCTTCTATTAGATCAGAAGAATGACAATGTTAAAGTAGCAGGAAGATACTATTAAGGAAAAAAAGGACATGGAATTACAAATTAAGCAGTGAAATTTCCAAACAGATAAAGATTTAATATAGAAAAAAAGTATTTCTTTTATTTTTACAAACTAATTTTAAGCAAACAACACATATAATTTAAAAGTACATCATTAATCATTTCAATCAAAAAAACTTACAGATTTGAAAAATACTTTAGAACAACCCTTTTCACATCAAGTCAGAAGAAATACTTGAATTAAAAAAAAAAAAACTTACAAATAGGTTAAAAAAAAAAGACAAGTTTGAAAGAACTGACTAGTAAAAGAGTTACTATGTTAAAATCAAGAAGGGAATACCAGAGGATCCCTGTGTTAAAAGATCTGTTTTGCCCTGAGAGCACTTTCTATTTCCTGAACCACAGAAGAGACAGCTATAAAACTCACTGTAGTTTTGGCAGCCCTTAAGAGCCAAGAGGACAAAAGTTAAAGGTCCACAGAAGGAAGGAATTTCGACTAGTGCCTGCACATTAAATAGAGACCCAGAGGGATACAGTCTCAGGGAAAAGGGAATCCAAAGTAAACTAGCCCACAGAGTCTTGTATCACATGCAGAAGGCAGCTCTTCAAACCTAGAGTAATGTGGTCCTAGACTAAAATAATGTTCTTCTGGGTAGAGACAACTTAATTTCAAATATCAAACCATTACACAAAGTTCACTAGGTATACGAGTAAATGAGAAAGAGAAATATTTTGTCAATTAATATAAACCAACCTGAAAAAATAAGAAATAATGAAACTATTAGGCATTATAAAAGTATGCTTACTCTGCTCACAGAAACAAAATTTCCTGAAACTATCTTCAATAGTAGGAAATTATGAAGTGATATTGCTGACTTGAAAAGTAGTCAAACAGGGGAACCAGCAGTTAGCGTAATGGCTATGTCGCTGGATTCCCACGTAGTCGACCGCGGTTCACGTCCCAGACCCGGTGGCTTAAAACTCACGCTGGGCGCGTGTGCGTGCGTGCCCAAGATCCCGAGAGGAGAATGGAGGAGAAGGGATTGCGGCGTGACCATCCCCTCTGGGGGGTGATTTCTCGCTTTCTGTCTCTCTGTCTCTCTCTGTCTGGCTGGCGAGCGCACGCGCCCTATAGCGAAAACCGCTAAAAAAAAAAAAAAAAAGTAGTCAAACAGGATTTTTAGAAGTGAAAAATACAATAAAACAAGATTAAGGACTCAATACATAGGACTAACAGCAGATTCAACACTGCTGAAAATACAATTGGTAAGCTAAAGGATAGGTTGAAGAAAATATTCTGAATGCAGTACAGAGAAATAACAGATTAAAAAGATGTGAGTAGAGATAGGGAAGATACAGTAAAAATAGCTAAACATATTTAATTGGAGCCCCAGGAAAATGGGTGAGAAATAGCATCTGAAAACATAATGGCTGACAAAATTCTTCTCTTTTTTAAGATTATCATAATCTTGTGTATAATACATTGAATCACATATAACTTTACAGTGACGGCTGACAAAATTCTGACACTGATAATGGATGGCATTCCACAAATTCAAGAAACCAAATACACCCCAAGCTCAATAAATAAAGACATCTACTCTTAGGTACACCAGAGTAAACTGCAGAAAGGAAAAAAGAAAAAAAAAAACTTTAAATGTAGTGAAAAAAAAAAAAATGCAAACAACCTTCAAAGACAGCTGACTTCTCAAAAACAACAAAGTCAGAAGCCAGAAGAATGTTATCATCAGAGTCAGCTGAGAAGGAATGTCCATCCGAAACTCTAAACCTGAGAAAACATCCTTCACAAGTGAAGGCAAAGAAAGACACATTAAACATGAAGAGAGTTGGACACTAGCACACACTACAGCCAATTCTCAAGAATGTATTTAAAGCAGAAGAAAAGTTATCCCAGACAGAGACAGAACTTTAAAAAAAATTTTTTTTAGAGATTTTTGCTACAGGGCACGTATGCTTGTTGAAGAGAGAGAGAGAGACACACACAGAAAGTGAGAAATCACCCCCTGAGGGAATTGCCACACCGCAATCCCTTCTCCACTACTCTCCTCTTGGGATTCTGGGTATGCACACCCACCTAGTATGAACCTGAAGTTGCCGGGTCTGGGACTCGAATAGTGGTTGCCATGTGAGAGTCCAGTGCCTTTATCACTAAACCACCTGCTGGCCCCTTTATTTTTTAAAAAAACTGCTATATGGTGCATGTGCTCGCTGGAGAGAGACAGAGAGAGAATGGGAAAGTGAGAACGCACACCAGCGTGAATGGCCACACCACAATCCCCTCTCTAGTCTCCTCTTGGGATTTTAGATAGGCAGGTACATTCCACATGTATGTTTTTAAACCTGCTGGGTCCAAGACTTCAACCACAGTTGGCCATGTGGGATCCAGATGCCTTAACCACCATGCCACTGGCTAGCACCAGAAATATGAAATTTTAAAAAGAATAAAAAGCAAAGGAAATGGAGAAAAAGTGGGCAAATTTAAAAAGGTAGTATAAAACAGCAGTTAGGGACCAGCAGTTAGTGTAATGGCTATGTCGGTGGACTCCCATGTAGTCGACTGTGGTTCGTGTCCCGGACCTGGTGGCTTAAAACTCACGCCGGGAACGTGTGTGTGTGTGTGCCCAAGATCCCAAGAGGAGCACGGAGGAGAAGGGACTGTGGCGTGGCCATCACCCCGGGGGGTGATTTCTCGCTTTCTGTCTCTGTCTCTCTCTGTCTGGCGAGTGCATGTGCCCTATCGCAAAAATCTCTCTCTCAAAAAAAACAAAACAAAAAAAACCCAAAACCAGCCATATTACATCCTGTGGGACTTAAAAAATAGAATTATAACACATGGCATAATGAAAATGTTCAAAGATTCCTGAACTGAACAGGGACAAAGTGCAATTATATATTTTTTATCTTTTTGGGGAGGCCAGAGAGTGTGAGTGCTTGACAGAAACAGAGAATAAGTGTGTGCTCCTCAAAGAGCCACGATCACGCTACAATAGTTTTTTCTCCACTTCCCCATCCCCATTCATTCAGGATCAGGCATGCACACACACCATGAGCTTTACAAACTGCAGGGATTGGTACTTAAACTGCAGTCAGTCATAGCCACTGCACTAAGGGCCAGCCAGGACAGTAAAATATGAATTATATTAGACTTATCAAGTTAAAGATGTAATTCAAAATTTCTAGAATAATCGCAAAAACTAAGTCTACTTTCCAACTAGCTGAATAGAAAAATAAACTGTAAAACATATTTAATCAATCTAAAAGAAGTTCTTCTTGGTACAAAAGGGAGGGGAATAGTAGAGCATTTTCATACAGATTATCTATATGAATCAGGACGAGTCTAAAAGAATGGCCTTTTTGGTTAGGTCGGGTTTGTTTGTTTTGTTTTATTTTGGATTTTTTTTTTTTTGCTATAGGGGCATGTGTTCACTGGAGAGAGAAAGAGAGAAAGTGAGATATCACCCCCACCCTAGGGGGGATAACTACACCACAATTCCTTCTCCATTCCCCTCTTGGAATTTTGGGCATGCATGCACATGCACCTGGAGTGATTTTCAAGCCACTGGGTCCAGGACCTGAACCATTGTGGGCATCCAGCATCTGAACCACCATGCCACCTGCTGGGCCAAGGTCAGGGTTTTAAACAGATTTATGGCTAAAGAAATTCAAGCTAAGGAAATACTTCGAAATTTTTTACATTCTACTGTCCATGACTATGCTTTGTAGTTAAGAAGTAGTCTGGGTCTCCCCTTCATGATACTGCCAAAGACTACTTCTATTAAAGCATTACTAAAAGATTAACGAATACCTTGTAGCTCCTGCTCTTCTATCTCTTCATCTTCACTAGAAGAAGCTAAGTAGGCTTGAAAATCCATGTCCAAAAGCTCTTCCTTTTTAAACTTCCTGTTGAGCGTTGTAATTCTTTCATGATCAGTCTCATCCCAAGTGATCTCCACCTTTCATAGAAAACAATAAACAAAAATGGAAATGTCAATAACCCAAACTTGTTGAAAAATGTCTATTACTAGTATGTTTAAGAACAAGTCATGAAAAGTTAAGATATGCTACAGTAAATAAACAAATGACAATTATAAATGACATGATAAGGAGTGTTAATATTTCAGGCAATCTGCAAACTATATGAAATCTGTTGGTCAAGCAAATCTCAATAGGTTCATTTTCCAAAAGATTAAGAGCCCTGGATGAGAATGGAACCTACTCGTTGGAAGTAAAGTAAATCCCCATAATACACGAATTCATCTATAATGTGACCTATTTGGTGACTGGCTCCTGTCCTCTCCATAGTACCTATTCCCAAACAAGGTCCTGTTAGAGGATTTTTATTCATCACAGGGAGAGTGTTACATTTTTGTTTTTCCTCTCAAGCCAATCTCCCCAGATGAGGAGGAAAAACAGATAGGCACCAATTAACCAAGATGTCTTTAAAATTAATGCCAGGATCAGTAGATGGCATAATGATTATATCGCTGAACTCCCATGTAGTCAACTACAGTTCAAATCTCAGATGCAGTGGCTTAAAACTCACACAGGGGACCAGCAGTTAGTGTAATGGCTATGTCGCTGAACTCCCACGTAGTCGATCACGGTTCGAGTCCCAGATCCGATGGCTTAAACTCATGCCAGGCACGTGGGCGTGTGTGCCCAAGATCCCGAGTAGAATGGAAAAGAAGGGATTGCGGCATGGCCATCCCCCCTGGGAGGTGATTTCTTGCTTTCTATGTCTCTGTCTCTCTCTGTCTTTCGGGCGGGCGCATGTGCCCTAGGGCAAAAACCTCTCAAAACAAAAACAAAAACAAACACCAACAAAACTTCACACCAGGCATTGTGTGTGTGCATGCTCAAAATCACGAGAGAACAATGGAGAAGGGATTGCAGTGTAGCCATTCCCCCGGATGGTGATTTCTCGCCTTCTGTTTCTCCTGGTGAGCACATGAGCCCTGTAGCAAAAACTTTCTCGAAAAAATATGAAATAATATAAAATCATTGCCACTGTCTTAGAGGATCCAGCTAGTCACAGGATTCAGAATTATCCTTATTGGAAAAATGAAATCTCAACTGATTAATTATCCAACCAATGAAGATTAGGACAGATGTTGATGATTCAGTCTGGACCCAGGAACTCCAGATTGGCTGGCTAAACAGGCTGGTGGTGATCATTATTTCAGTCTTTCTTTTTTTTTTTTTGAGAGGTTTTTGCTATAGGGCACGTGCACTCACCAGACAGACAGAGAGAGACAGAGAGACAGAAAGCGAGAAATCACCCCCCAGGGGGGATGGCCACACCGCAATCCCTTCTCCTCCGTTCTCCTCTCAGGATCTTGGGCACGCAGGCACACGCGCCTGGCGTGAATTTAGGCCACCAGGTCCAGGACACGAACCCTGGTAGACTACCTGGGAGTCCAGCGACATAGCCATTATGCTAACTGCTGGTCCCCATTATTTCAGTCTTTAAAACAACATAACCTTCGGACCAGTAGTCAGCATAATAGCTATGTCACTGGACTCCCATGTAGTCGACCGCGGTTCGAGTCTCAGACCCGGTGGCTTAAACTCACGCTGTGAGCATATGTGTGCGTGCCGAAGATCCCGAGAGGAGAATGGAGGAGAAGGGATTGTGGCATGGCCATCCCCCCTGGGGGGTGATTTCTCATTTTCTGTCTATCTCTGTCTTTCTGGAGAGCGTATGCGCCCTATAGCAAAAACCTCTCCAAAAACAAAAACAAAACCAAAAACAAATAAACAAACAAAAAACATAACCTTATGTTTTATGTGACTAAATCTCTTAGACTTATTGCAAGGTGGAGTTTTTATTTTATTTTTTCCAGGTTTTTGCTATAGGGAGCATGCACTTGTTAGAGACAGACACAGAGAGAGAAAGTAAGAAACCACCCCCAGGGGAGATGGTCATGACACACTCCTTTTTTCTCCAGTCTCTTCTTGGGATTTTGGGTACACACCGGCCAGTGTGATTTTCAAGCTGCTATGTCTTGGACTTGGTCAGCCATGCGGGAATCCAGCACCTTAACCACTATACCACCTACCAGTCCTATGGTGGTGTTTTTAAAGTCAGTGACTAATCAATGCCAGATATGCAACGCACAGCACACCAGGGGACAGAATAGCAGTTTTCTCTGCAACAGCCCCACTTTGAAAGAAGACAGCGGTTTGTCACAAAGGAAAGACAGAAGGAACCCAGAGTGACTATTACAGAATATTAAAAAAGATAGAAAGAGGATAGAGAAGGTAATTAGCTAAGAAATTAACTATTTCAAGAGAAACTTTTTGGTTTTATGTTATTAAACATACATGCCCCATCTAGTAGTCTTGAATTATTCTACTTGAATTGTTTCTAGAATTTTAGGTCCTATCTACTGAAAAATGGTTTTCTATTTTAAATTTTCACTAGTTTTGTCTATTGTGTGGAGTAATGTTACCTTCTCCTCTCTATTCTCTAGGACATTAATGACTTATAGATCACTTATTTATTTAAGAATTTAGTTCAGTAAGGGTGTGGGAAGCAAAGAAGAGAAAAAATATATACCAGCAGGTAACTGACTCAGGCTTAAAGGCATAACAAAAATCTGAAAATAAGTTAAGAAAATGTGGAAGATAAAAATGTAAACATTTGTGTTCCATTTCTATTTGTGATTTTGAATTTAAATACTTTCAAAGACGCTATAAATAAATAACACACAAAATCTCTCCCTCTTTTTTTTTTTTGGAGAGGTTTTTGCTGTAGAGTGTGTGCATTCACCAGAAAGACAGAGAGAGAGAGAGAGAGAGAGAGAGAGAGAGAGAGAGACAGACAGATAGACAGACAGTAAGTGCGAAATTACACCTAGTGGGGATGGCCACACTGCAATCCCTTCTTCGTTCTCCTCTCTGGATTTTGGGCATGCATGCACGCATGCTCGGCGTGAGTTTAAGCCACTGGGTCTGGGACTCGAACCATGGTCAACTACATGGGAGTCTAGAGATGTAGCCTTTATGTTATCTGCTGGTTCCCAAAATCTCTTCTTAAACCACCAGAATCCAAGTATACATTTTTAAAGTTTAGGAAATACCGATGATGTTCCCATTGCAGCAGCTGTGAAATAGTTGGGTTTATAAGCTGTTAAATCAACTTCCGAGGCTACATCTTTGGGCTCATCATCAAAAGTAATATCATCTGGTATAAATCTAAAAAGCAAAAGAAATTAAATTTATTAAACATATGCCACAATGGTAACCAGAATATATTTTTATTTAATTACCTGTAGTTTATACATACATACCATATAAAAATAGAACACACATATATAAAAGGCAATGTTAGAAAAAAATCTTAACAGGGAACCAGCAGGCACCTCGGTAGTTAAGGCACTGTGCTCTCACATGGACAATCACAGTTTGAGTCCCAGGCCCAGCAGCTTAAAAATCATGCTAGGCAAGTATGTACATGCCCAAAATTCCAACAGGAGAATGAAGGAGAATGGACTGTGGCATAGCCATCCTCCCATGGGGTGATTCCTCACTTTTCCTATCTCTTTCTCCCTCCAGTAAGTACACGCACCCTATCACAAAAACTTAAATAAAGAACGTTGGTGCAAAGTTTCTGAAATTTATAAGCTGCAAATCTGTAATTCTATTAAATGTGCGAGAATGCCATGTAGAAATAAACCCTGTATTAAGAGTCAGTTATTTGTTGAGTCCGGTACAAGCAAGTCTGGGTATCATGTGTGAAAATAACTCAGACTTCTGATAGTGTAGTCACTGGCTTACTATATGATATTTTCAAGATCAAACAAAACTATTAATGGTTAAGTATTCTGGATAAATATCGTACACATGAAATGAATATCAGTGAAGAAAAAGCTTAAGGATGATTCTTCACGACTAAAAAAATTTCAACATTACATCAAAATTTTAATTTCACAAATAACTAGTGGTTAAATATATATCAGCTGCTATTAATTCTTACAATGTTTAGGAATCCCACTATGGAATGGAAAAAAACTAAAGAGTTAAATGATCTAAAGTTTTTGGCCAGCATGTGGTGCAGACACTAATGAGATTGGATTCCACATGACTGACTGTACAGTTTGAGTCTCGGACCCAGAAAAATGAAATATCATGCCAGGCGCATGTGAGTGCATGAGTGTTCAGATCCTGAGAGGAGACTAGAGGAGAGGGATTGTAGCATTCCAGGAGGATGATTTCTTACTCCCTTAGTCCCTTCCACCTGCCAGCCCCTGTCTGTCTTTGGCAAGTGCTTGTGCCCTATACCAAAAAAAAACCCTGCTATGGTTGTTAAATGTAGGTCTTGTAATTTATGTAAGAGATATTGTTTCCATACATACACACAAAGCATATTACTGTATATTTTTCCAAAAAAAACCTTTTTTTTTTTGGGGGGGGGATGTTCTGTGATTTAACAACTGAACCTTAAAGTTTATTTAATTTTTAAGTAATTAAATAAAATTTAAATAACTAGATCTGGTTGTTGGTGACTATATTAATAGCACAGATCTAGAGATTATGAGCAAATTCCTCTGTTCCTACTTCAATGTTTTATTAAAAAATTACTTCAACTGGTTCTTAGCTCTAAAACAAAGTTGTAAAGAAATATCACTGCATAAAGAACATCTTAAAAACACAGCTGATATGTCTGAAAGGACATAAAGGTAGGGATGAGTCATATAAAATATTTTGCATTTCCGTGTTCACTTTTTGTAGAGAGTGATGTTCTACAGGACAGAGTTCAACCAAAAGCAAGTCATCCTTTCAGAATATAAAACCATAAAGAGCACTACCAGTTCAAATATTTTACTTTTTATAATCATGTTGTACAATAAGGTTAAGTTGGTAAACATACAGGCTTGGTTACCTGAGGTCTACGAAAGAACAACTACTTTCAAATTCCAGGCCATCACAATCCTCATAAATTTTGCTGGCTGTTTCAGGAGAATCACAGTCCACTACTGCATAATAGTACTTCAGTCGTTTGAACTGATAATCTCTCAGTTTTTCTCTAGAGGTCCTAAAAAGGGAAAAACTCATTAATCAGCTTATTTACGCAGGAACACAAAAAACCATCTCCTAAAAAACAATAAACGCAATTGTCTCAAGAAAAATAAACTACAAATTAGCCTTCATTCTATGCCATCTATTCATGACTTTGTCCTTATGAACAATAAGCATTTAAGCTCAATTTATTACTCTGACAAGGTAAGATTTTAGGTATATGGACTAAAATTAGGTATCCAAAAAAGGAGAGGGTAAGAATTTCATGTGTTTATCTATAATTTTCTTTCTTAGAATAGTTAGTTTGGTTTTTCATTGTTTTGTTACCATGTATAGCCTTTTCACGTAAAACTGCTAGGCAGGATCACTGTATTATAAAACATGCTAAGAAAGCATTAGCTCTAATTATGAAGAAATCCCTGATCTTGCAAATGGAGCAAAGCTCCAGATTCATTTGTTGTCAAATCTGAATGGTTATCAGTTTAATTTCACTTAACAGCACATTCTTTGATAGTCTTCATCTGCTCTTTCCTGCCACTAAATCTATTTAACAATTTTCATTAAATGAACATGTAGCTCCATCTAGTGGCTATAAAACTACCTAATTTTTTTTCTCTACTGTATCATGATAAAGTACTTTTTATCATTGTTTTAGTTTTCCATTTAATCTTCAAGTTTCAATGCCACTTATATGGAAAGTAACATCTCAGAAAAAAGTAAAACTTGCTAATTCAGAGGCATGAAGCTGGGAGAAGTCTAAATCAGTTTAACAAAATGTTTTTCAAAATTGCAATAATTATTTCCATGAATATATAAACATATACACAAAACAGTGTTAGAATAGGGTGTCACTTTTAACTCTTTTGCAATGTTCTGATCATGAATGACACAACTGTTAAGATTTAATCCTAACTATTAAGGTGACCTGCATTCTGAATTAATGATATGAACTTATAAAGTTTAGCTCATGTTCTATAGTTATTCAATACCAGTCCTTCTCAGGAGCATCTTCAGGAATACTTAATAACTCTACTGGTCCTTGAACTTGCTCTTCCTTCATTCTCTCCTTTCCAAACTCCGAAGGATATATCTAAACACAAAAAATAAGATCAATATAATTATGCATTCCTTTTCATAAAATCTCCAGATCTATCAAGATCACGTACTCATGGGAACCAGCAGTTAGCATAATGGCTATGTCACTAGACTCCCATGTAGTTGACCGCAGTTCGCGACCCGGACCCGGTGGCTTAAAACTCACGCCGGGCGCGTGTGTGTGCGTGCCCAAGATCCCGAGAGGAGAATGGAGGAGAAGGGATTGTGGCGTGACCATCCCCCCTGGGGGGTGATTTCTCACTTTCTGTCTCTATGTCTCTCTCTGTCTGTCTGGCGAGCACATGTGCCGTATAGTGAAAATCTCTACAAAAATAAATAAATAAATAAATAAATAAAAGATCAGGTACTCAGAGTCACAAACTGACTCAATGAAAACAAGAAGAATGACTCACTTCCAAACCACTAGTAAAAAGCTAAAGCACCTGAGGAACTTCCTTCAAGTAGGCTATTTTGGCTGAAGAGTAATACATGTGAGTCTTGGGAACAAGTATCTCCCCCACACACCACTTGGGATAAGATGGTTCTGGAATCCAAGGGAAAAATTAAGGAAAGCAAAAAAAGGCCTTGCCACGGTGATATAGGTGGTAAGGCGACACTGTGTGATACTGGAGCCACAAGGAATGCCCAAGCTCAGACCTCGAAATTATTTAAATATACCAGGTACACCAGGTGTCTATGGTACTGACTGGATGCAGAGCTGGAGGGAAGACCATGCTGAAGGTGCCCTTCCTAATTCTTAAGAACAAAATATGTAAACTTAAAAAAAAAAAAAAAGGCTGTATTAAACAACTTAGAAGAAATACACACAAATGATTAAAGAAATACATAAAACATGAAAATAATGAACAAAACCAATTTTGTAATAACCGACTAATCTCTACATTATACCACCTATCCAATACTGTTTTTTAAAGAAATTCTTTTAATGAAGAATGGAACTGTTGATAATTTTATCACATAGAGCAACATAGTCTTAGTATAAGAAAAATGATTCACTCACATTGGGATTTGGGAATTTTATCTTGGCTATTTTGAGAGTCAAAATATAACTGCATTAATTTACATTGTTATGATAATACTGGACTTAATATACACTTATCAAGTAGTATATGCTTACTTGAGTAGTCAGAAAATGCAATTTATCAACAAGTGAATCAAGTTTTTCTTACTAATATAAATTGGACTTATTAGGTTTGATATAGAAGTTTAAAGATACATAAGGAGGTCTTCAAAAAGTTCTTGGAAAATAAGTATTAGAAAAAATAGTACATTGAACTCAAAAAATTTTTACATTAAAATAAACTTGTATGTTAACACCATTTTTCCATGAAATTTTTGAAGTCTCTGTGTATGTATTTACATCTATAGATGCCCTATTTTTTCTCTCCTTTCTAAGTTTAGAAATTCCTACTACCTATTTCCTGAAACACAAAGTTTAACAAACTTTTTCTGATTTCCTGTTTTGTTCTATCAATTTGTACCCAAACCTATTAACTCTTGTAGCATAATAAAATGTTTAGATATTGAAACTGGCATGGTGAGTCATTTTTATATTGGCATCGTTTCTCAAAAATTTACTAGCACTCTTGTTTATGCTGTTAAATGATTTTAACTTTTTAACTTTCACTTGAACTGGGATTCTGATAGAAACTACACTAAAACTGCAGAACTGATATCTGTAAATATCTAAACAGAATAACTTAGAGCTTTTTAAGCACTGTACTATTGGGTCACTGGGAAAATCATAACACATTTTTGGACAGAAAAATATGTCATGACTTTCCCAACAACCTAATAAATAGTTAGTGTGAGCTCCTTTTCTCTCAATCTTTATAACCACTATTGGAAATACTACTGTTACATCCATTTGTCAAATAAGAAGATATTTGAGTATTTAATAAAGTATTCAAGATCACATAGCATGTAAGAGAATCAAGATTTTAACCCAGGTCTGTCATAATACAATTCTTAGATTTTGAATCATCCTGGCTGAAAATACAGTGTCTTAAAATTTATGTAGGTTTTTCAAATTTATCAAGAACTACATTTATGTAGGTTTTTCAAATTTATCAACACTATAGGTGATGTGTGTTTACATAAAAGAATTACTAAGGATCCTACATAGTTTTGTCACTTAGGTAATTAGGATATTTTTCTTATTTGGTTAATGCTATTAATAAGAAATGTAATTTATTTATTTTAAGGTTTTGCCACAGGGTGTGTGCGCTCCAGAGAGATAGACAGATTAAGAAAGTGAGAAATCATCCCCTGGGGGGATAGTCATACCACAAACCCTTCTCTATTGTCCTCCTGGGACTCTGGGCACACATGCACATGCACCTGAATTTCAAATCGCCAGGTCGGGACGCAAACCATGGTCGTCCATGTTAGACTCTGGCACCATAACTACTGTGCCATCTACTGGCCTCCAATTTGTTTAATTTAATCAAAAAAAATTTAAATTATAGAGTGAGGGGCTGGCAGGTGATGTGGTGGGGAAGGCACTCAACTCCCACATGGTCAACTATGGTTCGAGTCTCAGACCTGGTGGTTTACTTTCTCGCTTACCCTTTCTCTCTCTCTCTGGTAAAATTAAAAATAATAACAACAACAAATGGAATTAAATAAATAATTCTTTTCTTTTTTAAAGAATTATTTTATTTAGCTTTATTTATTTATTTTAATTTGACTAGAGAGGGACAGAAAGAGAGAGAGAGAGAAAGCAAGCTGCCAGGTCCAGGATTTGAACTGTGGTCAGCCATGTGGGAGTCCAGTGGCCTTAACCACCATGCCACTTGCCAACCCCCAGTAAATAATTCTTTTAAGATTAAAAAAAATAATTACCAAAAACTAAATAACTAAGAAAAAAATTACCAGGATGGGGTTAGGGGGTGGCATAAGGGATGGAACCCCCATGGTTGACTTCATGGTTTGAGTCCTAAAACAGTGACTTGAAAGACACATCAGGTGCATGTGATGCATTCTGAAGGGAGAGTAGAGAGAGTGGTGGAAGACTGCAACATAGCCAGATCCTCCTGGGGTGGTTTCTCAGTTTCCCTCGCCCATCCCTATCTCTCTCTGGCAAACACATAAGCCCTACAGCAAACAAAGTATGAATAAATAAAATAAACCTTTTTTATATATGTGTATACACACACACACACACACACACACACACACAGACACACACACACATTGGTGCATGTATATAAGTAAATAAATAAATTGCCAAAGTGGAGGAGAAGGGATTGTAGTGGGGCCATCCTCCCTGGGAGGTAACTTCTCACTTTCTCTGTCTCTCTCAGGTGAGTGCAAGTGCCGTATAGCAAAAACCTAAAAAAGCAGGAAAAAAACTATACTTTTTTTTTCTAAAAAAGATTTAACTTAGGGACCAGCAGTTAGCATAATGGCTATGTCGCTGGACTCCTATGTAGTCGACCGCGGTTTGCGTCCCGGACCCCGTGGCTTAAAACTCACGCCGGGCGCATGTGTGTACACACAAGATCCCGAGAGGAGAATGGAAGAGAAGGGATTGTGGCGTGACCATCCCCCCTGGGGGGTGATTTCTCACTTTTTGTCTCTCTGTCTCTCTCTGTCTGTCTGGTGAGCGTACGCGCCCTATAGCAAAAACCTCTCAAAACAAAAAAAAGATTTAACTTAAAATGCTTAGAAATATTTAATTCAGAATGAAATCAATTCTCACCTTTACAGAAAATACAACACCTCCTTTAGGTTTAAATGAATTGAACAGAGCCAGCAAATCCTTTGCCTTTAACCTGTCCCAGTCCATGTTGCAAACTGCCAATCGATGAGTAATCTGAAAAATGATGAATTAAATATTACATAATCTATATCATTCTTAAAGCTTGAAAAGTAAAGATTCCAAAAATGCAGTGCCTTCTTTCCTAAGTTCTATTACTGATATTTATCTAATTGGTTTCAATATACATAAAAGGATTTCAAATGAGTCAAAAACCAGTAAAACTATGACAGATAAGCACTTTCTCTTAGTTCTTAATTCTTGAGTCAGAACATGACCATGAGCTGCTTTTATTTTTTTTCTTTATGCCAGAGAAAATATACATTAGAAAAAAAAAAGAATATCATGGTAAATATGTACTATGAAAAAACTATGCATATATTTCAAAATTATTGCATTGAAATATACTTTAATCCCATTCTCCACAAACTTTTTGAAGTTTCCTCATATAGTCCATATCAAGAAATTTTTATATTTAAGAATAAAGTTCTCTTCACTTAAAATTAATGACATCAATCCTAACATACACAAAAGCTAGTTGTACTGTGTTCTTCACAATCTCACTTTTTAAAAGGTTACCTCATCAGCCCGAGGAGCATCTTTATCTAATTCTCTCCAAGCATGTTCAAAACCAGATTCTTCTGGCAATAAATCTGTCATATCATCTTCATCTTCAGAACTGGTTTCCACATTTCCTTTACCCCTTGCAAGATCAGGACCACTGTCACTTTCATCTTCCTCCTCAATATCCTCACTATCTTCATCACCTTTCTCCTCATCTTCATCATCTTCACTTCCATCATCAGCTGATGTGCTACCAACACTGGTAATTTCATCTTCAGATTCCTCATCGCTTCCTATTTCACTAGCACTTTCTGAATCATCCTCCACAGCATCATCATACGTTTTACCATCTATTGAGTTTTTATAATCACTGCCTCTTGCTATCATGGGTGGAACCACTATAAAATGTAAAGAAGGAAGAAATAAGAAAATACACACTGAATTAAAATGAATACAAATTATCTTAAAACTAATTTTAAAAACTCTATAAAACATATTAAATAAAATAAATTCAGTAAAATTCTTTTTTTTTTTTACAATTGTTTAATTTTATTTATTATTATTTAATTTGACCAGAGAAAGACAGAAAGAGGGGGAAAGTGAGAAAATAAGCTGTCAGTTCCAGGACTTGAAATGCTATCGGCCATGTGGGAACCCAGAGCTTTAACTACCACACCACCCGTTGGCCCCACTAAGACTCATGCTGAACTAAATTATTTAACAGAAATCTTAACACATACCTAGATCATATAAGTAGATTCAATTCACTCATTTTTATGGCGTGCCTGCTATGTGCTCAATTTACAACAGTTTCCCAAAGAGAAGCAATTAATGCCCTCAATGAATTTCTGCTTGAGTGAAGAGGATAGAAGGATGGATAACAATTAAAATCAATCAAAGCAATATACAAATAAATATACAAAATTAAAACTAGGATTAAGTTCTAAGAAGAAATATTGTATCATGCTCTCTAAGAGCATAAAATGGAGGTCTCCACATGATTGACAACTGAGCTGTTTGTTTCTTGAAAGATGAAGAGGACTTAAGTAGTCAAAGTTAAACTGACAAGTGAAGGATCTTTTTTTCCTTAAATAGGAAGGAAGGCCTCTGTAAAGATTTGTTGAAAAGGACCAGTCCCACAGCACAGTGGTTAAATGCTATGCGTAGATATTCAGGTCCCACACAGCCAACCACAGTTTAAATCCCAGTCCTGGAGGCCCGAAAACATGTTGGGCACACCTAAAATCATTTAAAGATGAAGAAATGAAGGAAAAAGGGTTGTGGTATGACCTAAACCAATTAGGGGGGTGTTTTACTGAGTGCCCTCTTCCTCTCTCACTACAAGTGTACTGGCCTTTGGTGATTTAAAAAAGAAAGATCTCGGGGCCAGCAGGTGACATGGTGGTTAAAGCACTGGTCAACTGTGGTTTCAGTCCCAGACCTGGTGGCTTGCTTTCTTACTTTCTCTCTCTCTGTCTGATGTGTGCATATGTCCTGTATCAAATTAAAATAATAATAAATAAAATAATTTAAAATAAAAGAAAGCTCTACAGACAGAAAAACACCAACGAACATGTCTGGATAGTAGATTGCAAGGAATCAAGTAACAAATGGCTGAGTTAGGCAGATGCCATACTAGCCAAAAACTATGTAGAGAGGTTGGACTTCATTATAAACGGGAACCAACTGGTATGTTACGGAAAGGCGGGTAACATCAGATTGACATGGGGAGACCACCTTGACTGTAATGTAGAAACCTGAAGGAAGTAATCAGTAGATGTGAATAGAGCAATCAGAAAGGTAGCATAACACTTCAGGCAAGATAAAAAGGTAGCACTATGTTATAAGCATAGAGATTTTCAGAGTCAGGAGGTAAAATCACTGGTAATCAGTAACAGGGATATTTGATATGGGAAACTACAGTTTTAGATGTATCAAAGATGAGTCCTAGCTTCTTAGCTTGCAGAGCTAGCTAGCTGGCTAGATAGATAGGTAAACAGAAAACAATGCAAAATAGTTATTTTGGGTTGTCAGAAAAGTGTTTTTCTATGCAAAAATACGCCATGACTTTTCTGATAACCCAATAGTTTACTTGAAGTAGGGGAAAGATGAGTTCAGTTTGGGATATGTTAAATTTGAAGTGCTTTTGAGTGATGTAAGGGAAAATAATGACACTGGCTATAACAGTCTACAGTTCAGAGAAGTATGAGATGGAGATATAACTTAAGACTCATTCATGTGTCACTGAAAACAGAAGCAGTGATTTTGATGACATCACCTGTAAAGAGCAAAATAATTATTTTCTGCTAAATCTTGAAGTCCATAACTAACTGCTATGGTTTGCAGTATACCAAGAAGTGAAAGACAGTTTTTGTTAGTTTTTTTTTAGCCCTCACAACTATGATAGGGCTCACTTCACACTTCTAAAGCAATGATATTTACTATCTTTAAGATGGGAGTTTTTGTCTTTTTCTTATTTAGACTCTAAGGTTGGAGAATTGAAAGCAAATCTAAAAGTTTAAGGCCAGGAATTAAATTGGTACTTACTTTTTCTTAGGCCTATATTCTTATAAGAATCATTTATTGACCACATATTTATTATCTATTACGTATTGTACAAAACACTGAGGTAGGTTCAGCTAGTAGGTATGGTGGTTAAGGCTGCTGGGTCCCCCATGGCTGAGTACAGTGGTTTGGGTTCTAGAGCCACTGGCTTGAAACGCACACTGGGTAAATGTGCGTGTGTGCCCAAAATCTCATGAGAATGAAGAAGGGACTGTAGCAGGTTATCTCCCGTGGGGATGCTTTCTCACTTTCTCTGTCTCTCTCTCTGGTGTGCATGTGAACCTTGAAGCAATTTTTTTTTTTTAATTTTTAGAAAAAGCATTGAGCTAGAGAGAAATTTTTTTTTTTTTTGTGGAGAGAAATTTTTGTCATCAGGTGTATGCGCTGATCAGAGACAGAAATCAAGAAATCACTGTCCAGGGGGATGGCCACACCACAATCCCTTCTCCTCCATTCTCTCAGGATTTGGGGCACACACGCACATGCACCCAGCATGAATTTTAAGCTGCTGGGTCCAGGACTCAAACTGCCATTGATTGTAGAGTCCAGCGACATTACCACTACAGTACTGCTGGTCCTGAGAGAGAGAATTTCCAATGATCCTATGCATCTTACGGTTTCATAAACAAGAAGAAATTGTTGATTGATTTATGAATCTATGTTCTAATGCACCACACAGAGAGAAATACCTAAATTTGTCAACAAAGAGGCATCTATTAAGGAAGGATTTACAGAGATATCATGTGACCTGAGACTAACTGAATGAAAGGGAATGCAGAAAATGGGTTTTTACTTTAGTAACAGAAAAAAGTGAGGAGTAATGCTCTGTTATATAGGACCCATATTAAGGGGGCAAGGGAGGAGGCCCCTTTGCAAGCTGGGTGTGTGTCATGCCTATGATCCTGACTGGCTGAGACTAAGGGTGGATCTTAGCATAAAGAACCTGTTGGGGATGCTTTTTTCTCTCTCATGGAAGAAACTAGCTAGAAGATGTTGAAGAAGCCAAAAGAAGGCATTATCAAAAGTTGTACGGATAGAGGATCAAAGAAATAACAATAAAAAAAGGTATTATGGGGTAAGGAGCAGAATTCACTTTTAGGCAACATGCTCAGAAATAACAACTTGCAGATTTAGTTCTATCTTACTCATTCTCATACTACTTTCATGATTTCTGCATGACACTGGTATTTTTCATTAAATTGAATTTTTTTTAAAATGAGTTTTGTTCTATACAATACCCCTGAAGACACAGAAACAGAAGTGATATGGTCATTACATCTTTAAGAAGTTGAAATAATATGTAATTATAACATAAAAGCTTGATCATCATCTAAAATTTCACATGACAAGGTTGTAAATGCCACATTTTGAGTTATATGATAATAAATTGATGTATGAGAGCCTTAAAAATATCTATTATTTAAATTGTTTTGACAGTAAAAGAAATATTTTCAGAGTATTTGTCCATTGACTAAACATCTGCTCAGAATCCACAATGCCGGGAACCAGCAGTTAGCGTAATGGCTATGTTGCTGGACTCCTATGTAGTCAACCGCGGTTTGCATCCTGGACCCGGTGGCTTAAAACTCACACCGGGTACATGTGTGTGCGTGCCCAAGATCCCAAGAGGAGAAGGGATTGCGGCGTGACCATCCCCACTGGGGGGTGATTTCTTGCTTTCTGTCTCTATGTCTCTGTTTGTGTGGCAAGCGCACGTGCCCTATAGCAAAAACCTCTCCAAAAAAAAAAAAAAAAATCCACAATGCCTATACAAAGCCTATACTAGATAATGTAGGATTTTTAAAAATATTTATTTATTTATTATCATTATTATTTTTCATGTGAGTTTTGCCAGAGAAAGACAGAAAGGGAGAGAGAGAGGGAGAGTGAGAAAGCAAATCATCAGGTCCAGGACTTGAACTGTGGTCAGTCATGTGGGAATTCCAACGCCCTAATCATCCTGTCACCTGCTGGACCCAGATAATGTAGGATTTTAAAAATAAGTAACTACCTTTTCCTAGATGGTACTGCTCTAGAAATGATTAAAAACTCTACTTATCTAGCTACCTAAAAAAACAATAAAAGTTATACCATCAGGACCAGCAGATGGCATAATGTTTACATCGCTAGACTCCCACATGGATGATCATGGGTCGAGTCCCAGATCTGGCAGCTTGAAACTCATGCCGGGTTCGTGTGCGTGCATGTCCCAAATCCTGAGAGGCAAATAGAGAAGGGACTGCGGTGCAGCTATCCCCCCTGAGGAGTGATTTCTTGATTTTTTTTTTTTGTCTCTCTGGCAAGCACACACGTGCCCTACAGCAATATTCTTTCTCTTAAGAAAAGAAGTTATACCATCTCCCCCAACATAAACATAATGAAAGATCATTGCAAAAAAAAAAAGTGTATGTATATGCATGCATATGTACGTGTGTCTGTGTGTGTGTGTGTGTGTGTATAGTTTAATAAAGATAACTAGTAATTTCACATTCAAAGATAACTGGATGGGCCAGCTCCATGGCCTCATGGTTAACGCAGCTGGATCCTACATGGCTAACAGTGAAGTTTGAGTCCTGGACCCAGGGTGTGAGAAACAAGCCAGGATGTGCATGTGTGCGCCCAAAATCCTGAAGAGGGAAGGATGGAGAAGGGATTGCAGTATGACCATGCCCCATGAGAGGTGCTTTATCCTCTTCCTCTCTGTCTCTATGGGAAGGGGAAAAAATATAACTGAATGGCTCTTTTGGTATATAATCCCCTAAATTTATTTTCTTTGATTTAACCACTATATTTTTTTTAAGCAGCTACTCATACTGTTTATGCTATTTTTTGT